AGCCCAGAAAGTAATCTTTAGGGTCAACTGAGGGTCACATCTTTAGGGTCAACTGAGCTTCAACAAAGGTGCCAAAAATGCACAACAGGGAAAGGACAGTGTCTTTAATAAATGGTACAGGGAAAACTGGATACTTACATACAGAAGAAAGAAATTAGACCCTTATCTCATACCATACACAAAATTCAATTCAAGATAGATTAAGGCCTTAAACGTAAAACCTGAAACTATAAAACTATTAGATGAAAAAACATGGGGAAAAAGCTTCTTGATATTAGTCTGGGAAATAATTTTTGGATATGACCCCCAAAACACAAGCAACAGGAGCAAAAAGAGAAAAAAAAAGGAAGAAAAAAGGAAAAGACAAATGGGGTTGCATCAGATAAAAAGTTTTGACACAGCAAAGAAAACAATAGAATGAAGAGGCAACCTATGGAATGAGAGAAAACGTTTGTGAACCAATAATCTGATAAAGGGTTAATATCCAATATCCAAAACACATAGGGAACTCAAAGAACTCAATAACAAGAAAATAAATAACCCAATTGAAAATGGGCAAGGAACCTGAAAAGGCATTTCTCAAAAGAAGGCATCCAAATGGCCAACAGGTATATGAAAAAATGTTTAACATCGCTAGACATCAGGAAAATGCAATTTAAAACCACAATATCACCTCACATCTGTTAGAATGGTTATTATCAAACAGACAAAAGAAAAGTGTTGGTGAGGATGTGGAGAAAGGGAACTCTTGTACACTGTTGGTGGGAATGTAAATTAGAATAGCGAATATAGAAAATAAGTATGCAGGTTTCTAAAAAAAATAAAAAATAGAACTACCATATGATGCAACAATCCCATTTTTGGGTATATAGCCAAAAGAAATGAAATAAGTATCTTGAAAAGATATCTACATTCCCATGTTCATTGCAGCATTATTCATAACAGTCAAGATGTGGAATCAAGTGTCCATTGACAGATGAATGGATAAAGAAAATGTGATATATATATATACACATATACAGTGTAATACTACTATTCAGGGTTTACAAAGAAAGAAATCCTATCATTTTCAACAATGTGGATGAACCTGGAGGACCTTATGTTAAATGAAATAAGCCAGGGACAGAAAGACAAATATTGTATTATCTCACTTATATGTGGAACCTTAAAAAATCAAACTCATAGCAGCAAACAGTAGAGTGGCAGTTGCCAGGAGCAAGGGGCAGTGGGGAGGGGGCAGGACAGAGGAACATGGGGAGATGTTGTTCAAAGGGTACACAGTTTCAGTTAGACAGGAATTCTGTTGATCTATTGTGAAGCATGGTGACTACAGTTAATAACAACAACATACTGTACACTTGAAAATTGCTAAAATAGCAGATTTTAAATTTTCTCACCACAAAATATGTGAGATGATGAATATGTTTATTCGTTGGATTTTATCATTTCACAAGGTATACATACATCAAACATCACATTGTACACGGTCAATGTACACAATTTTTATTTGCCAACTAAACCTTAATAAAACTAGGAAAAAATATCGTTTCACTGTTTAGAAAGAGCTTATTTTACAAAGAAAACAAATGAATATGGTCATTCCATTTTCTGCTAAATATAATTTCAAACATTCTCTACATACTTTCTATCTAATAAAACTTACTGGCCGGCCAGGTGTGATGGCTCACGCCTTTAATCCCAGCACTTTGGGAGGCCGAGGTGGGCGGACCACCTGAGGTCAGGAGTTCGAGACCAGTCTGACCAACATGGTGAAACCCCGTCTCTACTAAAAATACAAAAATTAATTGGGCGTGGTGGTATGTGCCTGTAATCCCAGCTACTCAGAAGGCCAAGGCAGGAGAATCACTTGAACCTGGGAAGTGGAGGATTCAGTGAGCTGAGATTGCACCACTGCACTCCAGCCTGGGTGACAAGAGCAAGACTCCATCTCAAACACCACCACCACCACCACCACGACCTCATTGGCCTTGAAATGGTCTGCTGTTAGAATATGCAGTTGGGCACAGTAGCTCACGCCAATAATCCCAGCACTTTAGGAGGCCAAGGTGGGTGGACTGCTGGAGCCCAGGAGTTCAAGATCAGACCTGACAACATGACAAAACCCTGTCTCTCCCCCCGCAAAAAAAAATTTGGCTGGGTGTGGTGGCACAGTCTGTAATCCTAGCTACTCAGGAGACTGAGATGGGAGGACTGCTTGAGCCCAGGAGGTGGAAGCTGCAGTGAGCTA